TCGATGGGCTGAATTGCACAAAACGCATGATCGCACCGGCTAGTCCGGTGCGCGTTGTTATTTATTGTTTTTGGAACAAAAAAGAATAATGGTTTTTCGCCTTTAATTGGCCTTCGTTAATCTCTCTATTAGTTCTCTTTTGTAACAATTGTACGTCATGTATCTACGAAGTTGTTCACTGATTTACTGCGATAATTTCCATAAATTCCCGTACAAATAGCGTGAACGGCCGTTGCAGGGTGATGGTATCGGCGCTGGACCCGCGGCCAGTGTATTCGGCGCTGAAAAACGGAATATTTCGGGAAAATATCGATGCATTCAGTAACGAGCAAATACAACCCTTTCTACCATCACTGCTGCTAACTTCGTTTGTGTCTTCTTCACATTCGAACGATGAGGCATCATCTCCAGGCATTGAGGTTTGGCTTAAAATTTTTTCTGGTTTTTTTTTTTTTCTTACAAAAAATGCACCATTTTTGGTATCCACAGCAATGCTTTCTTCCTGGGTTTTTGCGTGTAAGAGCAAAAAGTGCAAAAAAATTAAGCAAATCGACTTGAGTTCGGTAGAAATAGGTGTAAGTTTTCAAAATCTCGAAGAAAGGGGCAAAATCTTTGCGAGAGGGCGCAGAATTTTGCGTCTTCCTGGGTGATATTTGTCGAAAAAATTGGAAAATTGGGCGCAGAGCTCCGAAAATATGCGAATTTTCGCAAAATAGGTTGTATAATTAAATTAACAACTTTATCATTTTAATTTTTAAATTTTTTTTTGTATACATTTGAGTTTGCATTGAAATGTTCTCAATGCCAACGGGATGCATTCATCTGCTTATCTGATTAAATCATCTGCTGTGGGCAGGTAGCGTTGGCAACTACATACGTCCAGTTATTACTATTTTTATTATTATTGTTATTGTTGTTATTATTATTGTTATTATTGTCATTGTCATTGTTATTATTAGTATTGTTGTTGTTATTGTTATTATTATTGTTACTACTATTATTATTGTTATTATTATTATCATTATTATTATTATTATTATTATTATTATTATTATTATTATTATTATTACCGCCGCTATTATTATTTCTTCTGTCATTATTATTATTATCATCAGTCTCTTACTGAATTACGACTTCGGCTCCTTGTTGTAGTTTACTGGAATAGTGACGGACTAGGCGGTGTTGAGGTACGGCAGGGTACAAACTGCGGGAGCTTCAAGTATATCGAAAACACACTGTACCGCTTTTGGTTCTGCTAAACTTGTGGTAGGAACTAGTGTCAGTCTGGTTAGAAATTGGTAATGTAGCAAAGGTCAAGCAGCTATGCACGCAAAAAAAAGACGCAAATGTGTCATATAGAGTATTTCTGGGAATAACATTTATGGGAGGAAATAAAATTCGATCCCAATGCCTTCTTGGCACGTCCTTCCACCCGCTTTTGGGCAGTTGTTCGGCATCAGTACCAATTATATTAACACTATTTGTCTGCTATCTGTTATCACTGCCAGTGTTGGAAGCTGTTGTGTTGGAGTGAATTTGTATAATTTTGATTCTTTGCTTGATTTCACTGGCTTTTAGGATGCACTTAGACGCCGCCTGTTGGAATTCCCGCAATGCAATTCACTCTTTCAAATTTTAAATGCCGACATTGAGGAGGTGATGAATTGCTTGGATCGAGCAAGTTCCGATGAAATGGAAAGCCTCTGCAAAATGGCCTTTGAAACAGCCGCACCAACAGACAAGTTGAAAATCGTCGCAGTCTTGCTGCATCGATGTATTAACTTTCTTATAAATTACAGTGGTAGAAATAAGAATAGAATGGTAATAATAGTAATTGTCACGATTGTTATTATAACTGTGACAATATGATGATGGTAATAATAACAATAATAATAATAACAATAGTAATAATAATAATAGTAACAATAATAATAACAATAATAATAACAACAACAATAATAATAGTGATGATGATATAATAATGCAGTAATTTGGTAATATAATTAAGTAATGATATAATAACATGAAAATATAAATAATATAAATGATATAGCATTTCATGCGCTCTTTATACTCTGATAAGTACGGAACTGTTAAAATTATACTGGCATTGGAGGCATATTGAGGAAACCGTTGGGAAGTTGGAGGGTTAAGATGTGTTAAGAAATTGGGCAGCAATTTTGTTAGCTTCACTGACACAGTGATGGTTACTGAAATGGTTACTGGTCAAAGTTTATAGGTGGTACAGGCATGCAGCGTTTAAGGTTTGCCTTTTCTTATTGGTTACGAATGGGGTTTTAGTTTTGCTTCTGACAGACATAGATCGAGAATTTAGTATTAAAGTCCGTCACTCAATGGTTACTTGCAAGTGGTTTTGTCGATTTTCTGGACCAGAATTTAAGATTTTCTCTAGTGACGCGCCGTAATTTGATTCCCTAATAGTTATTAAAAAAGACAGTCTGGTAGTTTTGCTGCATTTTCCTTGACTTGATCAGTTGACGATTTGTGATAGATTCATTAATACGCTAAGCATACGAAAAAAGAATTGGAAATAAAAATTAAGATTTCCATTGATAAGCAGCGCGGTAATTCCTTGTTCGTCTATTACTGTTACAAGTGCAGAATGTATAGTGCTTACTTACAAGTATAGTTCCTTTTACGAATCGTTTTTGAAACAGAGGTGCGGAACTTCTAACTGCTCTAGATATATCAAAATTGTTTTAGGATTTTCATGGTAATCGATTTCGAGTTTTTAAAAAAAAAAGAAAATGAAATGCTAGAACTTTAGCAAGAATGCCTTGAACAATTGTTAATTCATGGTTTGGTTCTCCATCTGCGTAGTTAGTAATTTATCAAATTAAAATGACAGGTACTTCGTCTCTTGTTTAGCTCCCTGCTGCCGCTAAATTTCATTCCATTTACTGAGGGAGTTGCCAGCTTAAATACTTGCTTTATTGGCTGTAAAAAAATGCGATTTTAAAGAACGAGTGAAAAAAATGCCAAAAATGGGAAAAGATTTACATTGCTTTTTTCGGATTTACATCAATATTCGTTTTTTTAGTGTCGCAACGCATTGAGGGCGGCATGGCTTTGAGTATTTTCGAGCAAGATTCACTTTTGGAGGAAGTTATATGCGCAATGACTGCATGTGCTTTATTTATCCCAGATCGTTTCGATCCCCCTCTGATTGTTCATTCGCTACTGACAGCACCAAATGCTACAACTTTGATTACTATGGTAAGCAGTATTTTGCACGGATTGAGGCACCACTGCACAAAGAGAACTTTTTTAAAGGAAATTGAGTCCCTCTATGCACAGGGAAATAATTGGCCAACGCACGGGCTGCCCGGCTCCCCGCAGATTTTTGCCGCTAACGGCACTGGTTTTTCCAGCAGATGCTTCTAGCTAAAAGAATTTCAGACTGGCCGCCAGGACTGTCAGGAAACTTCCCCTCAAAATTCCAGTCTTCTAGCTTCTCACGTTCTCGAGTTAGCAATTTATCCGGAAGAAAATTTCACGGGCCCGTACGTAGGTACCACGCTTACCCGCGGGCAGGATTTGAACTCGTTAATACCGACTTGGACAGGGAACATCCCCTTAAGATTTCAGCGTTCCAGCTTCTCATATCCCCGAGTTATGAACTTACCCGAAAAAAATTTGACGGGCCCGTACGCGGGTACCACGCGGGTGATGGCGCCCATTTTGGGGATTGTAGCCGGCACGTGCATATAGATTAAGTTCCCGGAATTTCAGACACGCGGACACACAGACAAACCCGCGTCAATTTGCGTTTTTGCATTGCATAGCTGCAAAAAACGCATAAAAATGGGGAAGAATTGAGTTGAGTATAAACAATCCCATCTATGAAATGATGAGTTTGTGACGGGAAACAGCTGTAGCAGTCTACAAAAAAGGGTGGTATGAAAAATGAGGGGTGAAACGAGATGAGGTAAGGGATGGGGGAGGGAAAAAAATAGATGGAGGAGGCATCGTTGGATGCGAGAGCACAAAAAATTGGAATTTTTGTTGTTTTGCTAGGATGGGCCAAAAAAGAATCCACTAGAAGAATGCATTCAATATTTTCCTTCCCGAGTGATCTTCAGACAATTTATTTGTGAATTTTTAATTAAAGGACAAATTTAAATCTTTTATAGAGGTCTTTCAAAGAAAAAAGGCTTTTCCTCTTTTCCACTAAAAGTGTACGGAATAGTAACAGAAAAACAAGCAAAGCTACAAAGTTGAAATTTAACTGTTTGTTTTCAAAATATGTCCATTGCTGAATGATTGGCCTGAAGTTAGCTTTCAGGCTTAATTTTGCTCCTTCCTAGACAATTAAACTTTCGTTTGTTCACTGGCAAATCAGTTTGTCTAGAACTTGATGGACCGAAACATTCCTATTCATTCAGTTTTTTAGTTTAATTTTATACGTACCGTAGAATTGTCCATCGATGAATTTATAGCCAGAAGTTAGCTTTCAGGATTAATTTTGCCACTGTCTAGCCAATTAAGTCAGCTTTCATTTGTTCGCTGACAGTTCAGATTGTCTAGAACTTGATGGAACGAAACATTCCTATTCATATAGTTTGTTAGTATAATTTTATATGTACCGTAAGTTTGTACATTGATGAATGATTGGCCTGAAGCTAGCTTTCAGGCTTAATTTTGCATCTATCCAACCAGTTACGTTAGCTTTTGTTTGTTCACTGGAAAATCAATATGTCTAGAACTTGATGGATAGAGACATTCCTATTCATACAGTTTGTTAGTATAATTTTATATGTACCGTAGAAGTGTCCATCGATGAATTTATAGCCAGAAGTTAGCTTTCAGGGTTAATTTTGCCCTTGTCTAGCCAATTAAGTTAGCTTTCATTTGTTCGCTGACAATTCAGATTGTCGAGGACTTGATGGACCGAAACATTCCTATTCATCCAATTTTTTAATTTAATTTTATATGTATCACAATATCTCTATTTTGTCCTATTGCAGTTGATTTGTAATGTAAGTGATTCACTGGAACCAGCGCTGGATTGTTTGCTGAAGATGCAGCTGCCTGACGATGATAGCCTTATTTCCCGAAACAGAAGCAACTTGCTTCTGAAAGTACGTTTTATTTACCTTCACATCCTAAGATCACTTTTTTTTTTGAAATCTGCTCCACCTACAAAACATTTCAGGGTTTTTGTGAATTTACTGATAATCGTGTTATTTTCGTTGTTGATAGTCAGTAGTTTTGTAACGTTCGAGGAGCTTGGGCTGGGAGGGGCCTGCCTGGCAGAGGAGTGTGACACCAAGTAAAATTTATTTATTAGATCAATATCAAAAAAATCAAAGAAACAACAACCAGCCAGAAATCGCCCGGCAGCAGCTCCAAGCTGCCGCCGCACACATTCAGCCGCCGCCCCAAAAAAAAAACAGTAATTACACACTCCCTATTTCATTTTCATTTATCACATTAAATACCACGGAGGGGGGAACTCGAGCCAAGAGACGGGCATTTACATATTACAAGAAACCGAAGGGCCACTGGACAAGGCGAAGGGGATTGAGCCTCCAACTTTGCTTCCTTGTTATTCGCTCCTTCCTTTTGCAACAGTTTTTGTAATGATCAGGGTTTTGTAGCAGCATTCTCTTTTATAACCTCTTTTGTGATACCTGTCATTTTTTTATTTTCGTTTAGGAGTTTTTTCGGGCTAACAAATTAAATGGACTTTATTGACAATATTTTTTGATTACAAAGCGGACTTTGATGCAATCTTAGCTTAATGGACATGCT